CTAACCCAAACCCTAACCCTAACCCCAACCCCAACCCTAACCCTACCCCTAACCCTAACCCAACCCTAACCCCTAACCCCAACGCTAACCCAACCCTAACCCCTAACCCTAACCCTACCCTAACCCCTAACCCTAGCCCTAAACCTACCCTAACCCTAACCCTAACCTAACCCTAACCTGACCCTGACCCTGACCCTAACCCAACCCTAACCTAAACCCTAACCCTAACCCTAATCCCTCACCCTCACCTTAACCCTAACCCCTGACCCAGACCCTGACCCTAACCCCTAACCCTAACCTAACCCCTAACCCTAACCTAACCCTAAACCCTAACCCTAACCCCTAAACTCCTAACCCTAACCCCTCACCCTAACCCCTCACCTAACTCTCTGGCAGCAGCTCCCTCAAGCCCTCCAGCACGCAGCCAGTCACTCTTCTACCTGCACTATCCCCCCTGCACGAACTGCCCAGGGCTCTTAACGGTTTCGCAGTCCAAGTTCGCCTATTGACTACCCCTGCCCTAGGATAACTATCTTTTGTCTTGTTCAGTTTATATTCATTGCCATTACCTGTCCTTCACTCATAGTTAAGGCTGCGAGTTTGTCACGGAGGTAACGGGACATACTGGCTGCCGCTTCTCACAGCTCCCATTGGCTGGGAATGGCAAACCATGGCCACTGGGAGCTGCGGGGGGCCGTGCCTGCGGACGGTCAATGTCAGCAAAATGGCTCACGGCCCACAATCAGATTACCCTGATGGGACACAGGGGACACTGATCTAATGTCTGCACCATTCATTACAGCTACACCTAACACTGTGAATGCAGCCGGAGTGCGTGCAGATAATTCCCAGTGGCTATTGCCAGCTCAAGGGAGGAAGAGTTAAGCTTGCCTTGGCATGTGCATTAACTCTGTATTTCCTGATTTTCAGATGTTTGAGTTTTGCTGAGCTTGACATTTTGGAAAGGCATAAACTACCTCCGGGCAACCTTAAGTCTGCATTAATGAAGTTTTTTGTCAGTAAGTCGAAACAGACACTTCATTAGGATCTATGCAATTCAGCATAAACATAAATTGCAATGATAACCAGACTTTTCAAACACTCTTCCACTATTTGTAAAACAAGAAGCCACGAGTCTTCAGAAATACAACTGCACAACAGCTAACCTACAGCATTGGGAGGTACTCTATTCCTTTCCTCCTTTCACGACACTCTGATTTGCAGCATAGCCTCCAGGCTTGATGAATAAAACAAATCAGGCCTAGGGCTGTAAACATTAACTATGAAAAAAGCTTCAGTTGGTTCAGAATGCAACAGCCTTAAAACATCTGTTGAATGCAGACTTAAAACATTTATCTTCAAAACCTGTCACCACAGTGGTCTACACTGCCTGAGCCAACAATCTCGCTGTCCGTACCTGTCACATCCCACAATGGCTACATTCCTCAGAGAGAGTGTGGTGCATGCTATACAAGCAGGTTCGCTCAGAGGATTCAGGGGGCCTGGGGTCTTCGGCGGCGGGGGTTCTTCCTCTCCGGGTCTTCGGGGCACTTCGGCGGCGGGTCCCTGAGCGAGTGAAGGACCTGCCGCTGAAGACCCAGAGCGGAAGAAGCCCTCACCGCCGAAGACCCGGAGCAGAAGAAGCTCCGGGTCTTCGGCAGCGGGTCCTTCACTTACTGCGGCTGTGTTCGGCGGCACTGAAGGACCTGCCGCCGAAGACCGCTGAAAACTCTCGTGGGGGCCCCTGAAAACTCTCGTGGGGGCCCCTGCGGGGCCCGGGGCAAATTGCCCCACTTGCCCCCCTCCCCCGCTCTGTACGGCTCTGTATACAAGCAGGGGTAGGCAACCTGTAGCACGCAAGCTGATTTTCAGTGGCACTCACACTGCCTGGGTCCTGGGCATCGGTCTGGGGGGCTCTGCAATTTAATTTAATTTTAAATGAAGCTTCTTAAACATATTAAAAACCTTATTTACTTTACCTACAACAATAGTTTAGTTATATATTATAGACTTATAGAAAGAGACCTTCTAAAAACGTTAAAATGTATTACTGGCATGCAAAACCTTAAATTAGAGTGAATAAATGAAGACTCGGCACACTACTTCTGAAAGGTTGCTGACCCCTGCTATACCAGCATGCATATCTCTGTACTGTGTGTGTGGCGCATGCTATACAGGTACACATACCTTTGAACTGTGTGTTGCACACTACACATGTGTGCATCTCTCTCTTGGGTGTGTGGTCCATGCTATACACACATGCAAATCGTTCTAGTGTGTGTACGTGGTGCACACTATACATGTGTGCCTGTGTGTGTGTGTGTGTGGTACTCGGGACACGTGTGCATATCTCTCTGCTGCGTGTGCAGGCTATACGTGTCTCTCTGCAGGGGCGTAGCTCTGGCTCTGCTGGGAAGCGCCAGGTTGTCCCCTCGCTTACAGACACCCCCCCAACCTAAAGCAAATACTCACCAGCAACCACACATCACTGAACAAAACC